AACTTGGACCATGGCCAGCCATGTGGGAGTCCAGCGCCTTAACCACCACGCCACTTGCTGGCTCTGCCCCGCTGCACATTACAGAGCCTCCAATCATCCTTCCTTTTCCTAAGCCCTGAAGCTCCGCCTGCAAGCCTCTGGGACAGTAGATCTCACAGTTCATGACTGCGCTCTGCTTGAGAGGAGCTGTCTACCACAGCGCTGCCGGAGCAACCCAGGGAGTGGCACAGGGCAGCAGTCACTGCCCCCTTCCTACTGGGGACGAATTCAGAAGAGTCACTAACTAGCAATAGTTAACAGAAATCTTAAACTCTGTTGATGTAAAAATGTTAAAAATGTTGATGTAATGAAAATGCTTATTCATGCCGGCCACTGTTGTAAAAGTCTCAGATACATTAGTTCACTTCAGGGTCATTAGGATTCTTCAGAATAGGCAGGCGATGGTTTGAAATTTTGGTTCCAAAATTCATACATTTGAACTCAAACCTCAGGCGATAGTTAAAAGGTGGGGCCTTTGGGGAGGTGATTGAGTCCTAATGGCTGCACCCTCATAAGTAAGTTTAGCATCCTATAAAAGGGCCCAAGGGAACTTTTTGCGCCCCACCCTCCCACCATGTGAGGATGGTGCAAGAAAGTCCTCACCAGGTACACAATCTGCTGCTGCCTTGATCTTGGGCTTCTCAGCCTCCAGCCCTGTAAGAACTAAACTTCTCTTCTTTGTAAATTACCCAGCGTGTGGTATTTTTGTAATAGCAGCACAGATGAGCTAAGACAGGGTACAGTCCTCCTATTACAGCCCCAGAAGTTGAATACACTTCCCAAGAGTACAACACCACAAATAGCAAGAAGTGCCTGGACCTCAGGCAGGCCAGCACTCTCACTCTCTGGAAAAAGAGATCGCAGAACTCTTGATGCCAATGCTAGCGTATATAGACTCACACGGGACTTCTCCGAGTTAGCTTGTTTTTCCAGCTCAAGTGGGCTGCAATACCAACTGTAATACCTGGGTACACTGGTTTGCTAGGCTGCCATACCAAAGTACCACAGATTGGGTGGCTCAGATAACAGACTTAAAATTTTTTTTATTAGTTTTTGCTATGGGACACATGTGCTCACCAGAAAGAGAGAGAGAGAGAGAGGGAAAGTGAGAAATCACCCCCTAGGGGGCATGACCATGGCACAATCCTTTTTCCACCATTTTCCCCTCAAATTTTTGGGTATGCATGCACACCAGCTGCTGAGTCTGGGACTCAAACCACACAGTCAGCCATGTGGGAGTCAGCCACCTTAACCACATGCTGCTAACTGACCCCAGGCAGCAGACTTTTACTGCCCAAGTTCTGGTGGCCAGAAGTCCAAAATTGAGACAGGGTTGGTTGCTCTCTAGGGCAGTGAGGGAAACTATTCTAGGTCTCTCTCCTGGGTTCTGGGGTTTGCTGGCAATAGCTGGCATTCCTTCGCTTATAAAAGGATCTCCCCTCTCTCTGCCTCTGTCTTTAGGTGGCCTTCTTCCTGTGTGCATATCTCTGTGCAAATGTTCCCACTTTATAAGGACACCAGCCGAATCTAATTAAGGCCCATCCTAGTGGGCCTAAAATTTCAACTTAATTTTATCTATAATCCTGTTTCTAAATCAGATCACATTCTGAGGTACTGGGGGCTAGGACTTGGACATACGAACTTGGGGGTACACAATTCAACCCATAACACTGGGTACAAACATCTAATTAAGGGGAGATTTAAAGAAATGTAACCCACATCAGACACCAGAATCGGATTTGTTGGTGGTCTTGAGCCAGAGTAGGTAAAAATTATTTTCACACACGCTAAATCATGTCTTACAGGAGAACGTAATTACATAATGACAGCACTCGTCATATTGGGTAAAGTGAGCTTCCTGGAAACCGGTGGTGTGACCTAGTGTGCTATCCCCATTGTTTTGTGGAGAGTGTGGTAGTTTTTGGGGAGGAGGGGCTAGAAAAGAGAAGAGCAGTGCTCCAAATCTGGACCACACCCTCCACTGGGTCACCAACTGACCTATTTTTTTCAGTTAGCTATAGGGAGCATGCATTTGCCATAGTGACAGGTGTGTGTGAGAGAAAGAAACCTCTCCCTGGGGGATGGCCATGTTGCACCCTTTTCCTTTGTTCTCCTTTAGGGATTCTGAGACGCATGCTCATGTGCACAGGGTGTTTTTCAAACTGCCAGTCCAGTCTGGGACTCAAACCATGCAGTCTGCCATGTGGGATGCAGCAGCCTTCACCTCTAAGCCATCTGCTACCCTTTTTTTTAATTGCCAGAGAGTTATGAACACCTTCCCATGGACCGTGGTCACATAGCAATCCCTTTTCTTCCACTTCTCCATTTCGTCAGGATTTGGGGCACACACATACATGCACCTGGGATGTTTTTCAAGCCAATGGGACCAGGATTCACACCATGGTTGGCCATGTGGGGTCTGACTCCCCATGCACAGGGCTTAACTGCCGTGCTACAGGGTTGTCCTGTTTCGTTTTGTAATTTTAAAAACAGGGTCTTGCCATGTTATGCTCCGTCTGCCTCGGCGTCCAGAGGTGTTGGGATTCCAGGTACATGCCACCATGCCCCACCTTTAAGTTGGAGCAGTAATGAAACCCAGGCTTCCCATGTGGTCCCAGCCTGTGGAACACAGCACCTTGGCAGTGTGGCCACCATGGCTAGGCTGACTTGGCTGTTTGACAAAGTCACTGAATCTGCCCTTTGAACTACTAGTGTCAGGGGAAGATTCAGGTAACTCATAGACTTAGCACTTGGTATCTTCTAATTGTACTGCATTTTAATTTTTAAATTTTCTGTTTAGTTCCAAAACATGAGGGGGTGACCTAAAGACAGTGGCTGTCTGCAAGGAGCCCACCCGGTGGAAGACACAGCAGGCAGCCAGCCACCAGTAGTGCAAGGTCCCCTGGATGAGAAGTGTTGTAAGAGCTTGCAGAGCACAAGGCAAGAGGTACTCTGAAGGGGAGACAGGACAGGTTTTCCACAAGTGGGAAGATGGGGCTGACCCACCACAGGTTTATGCTGCACCTCCAGGAGGCAGTGAACTAACAGCATGTGACCCTCCTCTATTAGACTGCTGAACATGTAACAGATACAGTTTAAACGTACTACAGGCCAGCAGGTGGTGAGGAGGTTAAGGTGCTGGATCCCACATGGCCGACTGTGTGGTTGAGTCCTGGAACCTGCAGCTTGGGAATCATGCCAGGCATGTAAGCATGAGTGGCCAGAATCTCATACAGGAGACTGGAGGAGAGGGAATTCCGGAATGGCCACTGCCCCCAGGGAGTGACTTCTCAAGTCTCTCAACCACCACACCCACTCTATAGCAGACATTGAAAAACAAAAACTTTTCTTGCACTGTTTTACTTTTTTTTTTTTGCTTTAAGGCGGGGAATGAGGGAGAAAAAAACACTCCCCAGGGGTGGTGACCACACTACAATCTCTTCTCCTCCATACTTGGCACATGTGCCAAGTTTTTCAAGCTGCTGGGTCCAAGACTCCAATTGTGCAGCCAGCCATTTGGGATCCAGCTGCCTTAAGAACCAGAACATCTGCTTTTATAAATTTTTTTGCTAAGAAAGTACCCCTCTTGGGGACTAGCCATGCCATAATACTTTCTTCACCTTCCTCTCCTTTCCAGATTTTGGGCAAGAATGCACACGTGCTCAGCATGTTTCTCAAGTTGCTGTGTCCAGAACTTGAACCACATGGCCAGGTATGAGGGATCCAGTTGTCTTAATCATCAGGACATGGAGCCAGTCCTATTTTATATTTGTAAACAAAATTAAGTTTAGGTGCCAAATGAGAATTCTGTGTGATGGGGCAAAAAGAAATCTGATTTTTATTAGATGAATTCCAAGGTGCACCAGTAATTTGACCCAAGTTAGCTTAATACAGTTTCAATTAGGACCCAGGGGGACCAGAAGATAGTGTAATGGTTACGTCGTCACTGGACTCCCAGAGTCAACTGCAGTTTGAGTCCTGAACCCAGCAGCTTAAAATTCACCCCATACATGTGTGCATGCATGCCCAAGATCCTGAGGAGACTGGAGAAGGGACTATCCCTCTTGGGGAGTGCGGGGGTGATTCCTTGCTTTATTCTGTCTCTCCAGTGGGTTTCTGTGCCCCATAGCGAAAATCTTTTTTTTTTTTAAAGAATTATTTTAACTTTATTTAATCTGACCAGAGACGGGGACACACACACACAGAAAGTGAGAAAGCAAGCCACCAAGTCCAGGACTTGAACTGTGGTCAGTCATGTGGGAGTCCAGCACCCTTAACCACTATCGCACCTATCAGCAAAAACCTCCCCTAAAAAAAATTAGGGGACCAGCAGTTAGTATAATGGCTAAACTCCCATGTAGCTGACTGCAGTTTGAGTCCCAGACCCTGTAGCTTAAAGCTGATGCCAAGCGGGTGTGCGTGCATGCCCAAGATCCTGAGAGGAGAATGAAGGAGTAGGGATTGCGACATAGCCATCTCCCCTGGGGGGTGATTTCTTGCTTTCTCTCTCTCTTTCTGGTGAGCGCATGTGCCCTATAGCAAAAACCTCTCCCCCCTCAAAAAAAAAAAAAATTAGAACCTAGGTCTTCATTGAGGACCTACTTGTAAGGGTCCCTTCTAAACTCTCCCTGTTTTAGAGGAAATAAACATACACCTCATCATCTTTGACTATTTAGATATCTACACTGAAGTGAAGCAGCTCAGGACAAAGATCACATGGCAGCTTAGGCCCCAGCCGTACAAGCCAGCTGAGATCAGCACAGAACTGCTCATTCAAGTCATTGTTGTTGAAGACCACTACATTTTGGAATGTCTTGTCATACGATAGGTAACTAGTGCCCCAACACTATCCAGATGCCATCACACTATTAAAATTCTCCTATCTGATGGGATGAAAAATACCTCTTTTGAATATTTAAATAGACTTTAAGAGAAAAAAGAACCACAAGTGAAACTAAATGTTTAATACATTTGTAGGAATAGAAGGAATGCAATAAAGATTATAGTTTTATTATATACATTAGACATTCATGTAAAAGATGTTTTGCATTTCAAAGAATTTCCCCTATTTTGCTGTCTTTTCTATCTTTCTCAGCGCAATAATTACTACTCTCACAAATAAGCCACTCCACTGGTAGAACATAATTATATCTGTTTCACGTTATCATCTCCAAAACCTTAACCCTTTATTTCATGACACAGTACTTCTTAGTAGAACCACACTCCATTTAAATGACAAGAACCCAAAGAAATGAGAACAAACAGCAGTCAAATTCCTGTGAATGAATGCTTGGGGCCCAAGGTACTGATGAGTAACAAAGTACTAATTTAGTACTAACTTAGTAATGAGGTATCTACTGGCACAAACCTTCTATTTATTCATATAATTAAAACAGAAATAACAGATGAAACCTACTTTAATGAAAAGAGAACTCAGGAATGAGGTCATTAAATAGAACTAAATACATCTAAATATAAATACCATGTACTGCTGCTTAATGTCAGGTAAATATCCAGAGTACCTATTCCGGATTCTAGCCTCAGGGAAAAAGGTCAGAGACAATTACAAAGAAGGTGCTTCAGATCATCAGGTCCATTTTAGGAACAATGAGACCCTTTGGGAAACTGTGTTAGTCTTTCTTTTTATCAGAGACTTCTATTGGTCCTTTTGTGGGTAATCCATTTATGTCTGCACCCTGAAATGAAAAAAAATTTCAAGAATGATTATAACAAAGATACTTATCATAAAAGACATTCTCATTAAACACAGATAAACTTTGAGGGAAAAAAAAAAAAGCCTGTGTCTAGAAATGTGTAGGATGGCTAAATCAACACAGCTGAACATAAAGTTTAACAGACGTCGATGCTAAAGACAACAAAGCTGTCTAAGTATTCATTAAAAAAAAAACACAAAACTTCATTTAATGGGGCTGGCAAGTGGCAAGGTGGTTGGGGCACTAGATTCCCACATGGCTGACTGTGGTTCAAATCCTGGCCCTGGTGGCTTGCTTTCTTACTCTCTCTCTAGTCAAATTAAATAATAATAATAAATAAAGTTAAATAATTATTCTTTAAAAACCCTTAAAAAAACCTTGACCATCCATCTAATTCTTAGAAAAGTTATCAATCGTGAAAATGGCTTATATTAGCATCATCTCTTCTCATCCAATAGGTATTTACCTATTCTTACCAGCCAGGAAACAATGGCTATCATCTTGGCCATAAGGAGAGGAACAAATGCATGAATCAAAATCCTAGCTTAAAACTGAGTTTAGGGGCCAGCAGGTGGTGTAGTGGTTAAGGTCACCCAACTGTGGTTTGAGTCCCACATCTGGCAACTTGAAAATCACATTGAGCTTGTGTGCCTGAGTGCCGAAAACCCAAGGAGACTGGAGAAGGGACTGCAGTGTAGTCAACCTGGTGGGTGACTTCTCACTTTCCCTCTCTGTCTCTCCAGCGAGTGCATGTGTCCTATGGCAAAAAACAAAAATAAAACAAAGCACCTTAGTTTAAGCAAAATGTTAATTACTCAAAATAAGACAAATTATTGAAGCTTCTGGGTTCAAAACCTTGCCTTTCCAAAAGACAAGTGTTTTATCCAAGCACCACCTCCTTTACCTGCCCCTATTCAAGGCATTTGGACAGTCTTACCTTACAGTCTACTTTGCCTTTATTTTTCTCATTGGATTCTTGTACAGCTTTTTTAGGCCACATACGACTAACAAAAGGAGAGATCAGAGGGTATATGTATGGCTCCAGGAATTTCTTGTAGATCCAGAGCAGAACTGGAATGACGATACATGGAATGCACACCATTGTCCCAGGCTTGAGCTCCTAAACTTCTGATACAGGTAAAGAGAAAATTCAATTAACGATTGAGGAATGTACCTAAAGGAAGTTACCTGAAATGACAATTTCTCCCCCCCCACCTTTTTTTTAAACTTTATTAATTTATTTAAATTTGACCAGAGAGGAACAGAGTGAGCAAGCGAGAAAGAAAGTGAGAAAGCAAGCTGCCAGGTTCAGGACTTGAACTGTGGTTGGCCATGTGGGAGTCCAACACCCTTAACCACCACGTCACCTTCTGACCCCTGAAAAGACTATTTTTACAGCGAAGTAAAACTTAACATACACTACCATTATTTGCTAAATACAAGAATTAATTTTTTTAAATGCTGTTATTTGCAAGGCAAAGGAATAAGAGGTAGACACAAAAATAGTGAGATGTTTGCTTTCAAATGTGTCTAATCACTGCTCCCCAGTGAGATATGAAAATAAAGGAAAGACAACATTTTATAAGTACTAGACAGTTATAAATACTAGCTCATTTAATCCTCAAAAACGACGAGGTGAGGCTGGGTGCCCTTTTTACAGATAAAGAAATGGAGGCTCCGTGATATAACCTACACTTCATTTAAGTGCAGAGTGGACCTGATGTGAACTAACTTCCGAGTCCTAGTCCTTCAGGACTGACAGACATATCGGTTAGCCAAAGCTACATCACAGAAAGTCAATCCCTTACTAAGAAACACTAAGGTATCACTTCAGAAGAACTTTGGGGTACAAAGCCACTGGCCTTTTCCAGGTAACAACTTTCCCTTAATTCACTTTTCTTTTCTTTAAGAAAGTCAGAAAGTAAGCTGCTAGGCCCGGGACTTGAACCATGCTTAACCATGTGGGAGTCCAACATCTTAACCCACCATACCACCTGCTGGCCCCACTTTTCTTTTTTTAAATTAATTGTTTTAATTTAATAATTTATAAGTTATTTATTTAAATTTGACCAGAGAGGGACAGAGTGAGAGAGAGACGGAGGAAAAAGGAGAAAGCAAATCACCAGGTCCAGAACTCGAACCACATTTGGCCATGTGGAGTCCAGAAGACTTACCACTGCGCCACCTGCTGTCCCTCTTTTTCTTTCTTAGGGATATCCTTTTTTTATGGCCAAAGGATATGTGCACCTGCATGCGTGTGTGCGTGATAAAGTGCCCCAATAGGGCATGGTCACGCTGCAATAATTTTTCCTCCATCCCTTTAGGATTTGGGCATGCATGCATATGTGCCCACCATGTTTTTCCAAGTCCCTAGCCAGAAGGCCATGTGGGATTTGGCTCCCTACGCACATGGCTTAACCACTGCACTACCTTAAGGGCATAATTACAGGTGTGACAAACAACAGATTTTATTTAGCATTATCATATGTAAGTAAACTGTCCACTTCTAAAAATTAATACCTTTTTTTAAAGAATTATTTATTTAATTTTATTTATTCATTCATTTTATTTATTTGTTTATTTTAATTTGATCAGAAAGACA